GGAGAAAAACGTGTGTGTAATTATTACTGAGAGGGAAACGTCGTGAAGAGGAGGCGCGAGTTTAAAGAATTCAAGAAGAAAGATCTGCTCATGAATATGAACGTGACTCTCTGGTTTACATTCAAAGTGCCAGTTAAGTTATTAATATGAAAGAATCATTTATCTGATCTTGTTCTTTATTGCCATGATTTTGTTTTATTTGATTCATTTTATTTGACCTACATTGCACTTTTAACCTCTGCCTTTAATTAAACAATTTAAATAAGATTTTAACTTATAATTTTATTTGCTGTTTTTAATTGTCTTTTAATTCCTGCATTTTATTTTCACTTTATTGTATGAATATTGTGATGTGAAGCCCTTTGAGTCTGCCTTGTGTAGGAAAAGCGCTATACAAATAAAATCTCATAGTGGTTTAAAGACGAGATGTTTTAACCTTAAATCCCAACGTTTCTTGTTTCCCAGATGAACCCAATGTTGATGTGACGTTATTAACTTCCATGGTGTCGTTGTCTCACCTCCTCCTCCTCCAGGCTGCAGGAGCAGGTCTCCCAGAAGGAGGAAGCAGAGAGCAACCTGGCTGCTTTCAGAGCGGTGAGTCCCTCGTGTACTACTGCTAATTCACATGCGTAGTACTACAGAACTACAAGTACTCCCATCAGACGTTTCCTCTCCCCGGAGATAAAGACATATTAAAGACAAAGGCATATTTATGACCAACCAGTGATGCATCTCATCACAACGATCACCTTCCTGCTGCAGGACGTGGACACCGCCACGCTCTATTGTCTGGACCTGGAGGGACGAATCAAGACACTGCAGGATGAAATCGACTTCCTGGAGAAAGTCCACAAAGAGGTGCTCCCCCCCTCCTCCTCCTCCCCCCCCTCCTCCTCCTCCTCCTCCTCCTCCTCCTCCTGTCTCTTTGCTCATAGGTGCATTTATGCTGGTGTTTGATTAGACCAACTACCACCTCCAGGAGGACCACTGAACACAAACCAAGAACGTCCCGCATGCTAAACTTATCCCCTCGCACCCCCCCATCGTGCAGGAGATCCACCAGCTGAGAACGCAGAAGTCCCAGGAGCAGACCCAGATGGACATGTCCAAGCCGGACATGACCAAGGTGGACTTGACGGCGGCGCTGAAGGACATCAGAACCCAGTATGAGGGAATTGCCGCCAAGAACATCTCCGAGGCCGACGACTGGTACAGGTCCAAGGTGAGGGACGCCGGCGCCACGTGGTGTGCTTTGAAGAGACCAGGACGCGCCGTGACCTTTTACCTTTGCCTCTCCAGGTGTCCGACCTGAACCAGGCAGTGGACAAAAGAAATCATGCGGCTCCAAGCCAGGGCCCAGCAGGAGCTCCAGGGACAAGGATGACACCCTACCACCTACGAAGATCCACTTCGCTCAAAAGCCACCCGTATGTGAAACGGCGAACGCACCGCACACGTACACACGCCACGTCTCACCGCCGCTCGTCTCTTTGACCCATCCAGAATGAGTCCCTCACGAGGCAGATGAAGGACATAGAAGGACCGCACAGGCGCGAGGCCGGCGGCTTCCAAGACTCCGTCACCCAGCTGGAGACGGAGATCGGCAACGCGAAAGGACGAGATGGCGCAACACCTGCGCAATTACCAGGACCTCCTCCACGTGAAGATGGCCCTGGACATGGAGATCGCCACCTACAGGAAGCTGCTGGAGGGGGAGGAGAGCAGGTGAGGCCAGAGGCCGGGGGAGATTTAAAGGCTTTGCATTTGGACGCTTTTAAGTTAAATGTGCTGACGGCACATTAAAAACCATCGCAGCCGTAAAACAATGTTTCATCCGAATTAGAATCAACGAGTCATTGTTTTCTGCAGGATCGCCGTGCCTGTGCAGAGATTCTCCAAGCCGAACACCGAAGGTACGGACATACCTGCTGTACCCTGAACACACCACCAGAGGACACGCGGGTCTGGACTCGGTCCTTACCCATAATGCAGTTCACCTGCAGATCGAGGTTTTCCCCCTGACTTGTGATACATCATCAGATGAGTTCAGCAGAAGCACAACACAATAAAATAAGCAAAAGAAAGTCATTGGTTGATTTTAAAAGGTACTAAAATACTTTTTCTAGGCTATAAATGAGTTTATTCTCTGCTTCAGATACAAATGATTTAAAAGTCATTAACGTGCAGATGGTCCTCATGTTTTAGGATCATTTTGACTTGTCTGGTGAATTACGAACATCATTTTTACAACATATCGCGTTTAACAGAAACGCCCTCGGAGCAACAGCCGCCCTCCTCTGACGGAAAGAAGAGCGAGAGCGACGACGAAGAGGTAAAGTCCACACATACACACACAGACCGCTATCAATTAAACAGAGGAAAACCCTCCAAGTGACCTGAAGGATTTAGGGCGAAGCGTGGATCAATGTGACCCCCCACTAAGCCCTTTAATGTATTGGACTGTGTCAGTGCTCATTCTTCACTTAAAAGCCAAGGCAGTACAGTCTGAATGAGCAACATCTAGTGATTCTACAATCTCACCAAGCCCCCGTGACCTTTGACCTCTAGCTCTGACCTGAGTTCTGAGAGAGAGTAAAGCTGTTTGTAGCTGGCTGATTAAAACTTGCTGTATACTTACTTTGCAGGACGTTTATGATGATGGCGGCATACAAGGTCTTGACCTCCACGAAATACATCTTCTCCACGAAAGACATCTTCTCAAAATGTTTCCACATGCTCATGAAGGATGAGTCCACGCGGGACTTCATCTCTCTGGAAGGGTCCACCTGCCGCTTTCCTCCTGCAGGTCGTCAGCGAGTCGACGCAGCGTGACGCCAGAGACAAAGAGTCTTCTGGGTGAACGTGTGAACGTCAAAGCAGAGTGACGCTATTATTCACTTTATTGGGACTGGGATTTATTGATCTATGGTGTTTGTGAGCTCATATACGTACAGTACTGAATAACTCTTGATGAAGATATTTCTGACAATAACAGACAAATTTGATTTATTGTTGAAGAAAGATTGTGTCTTGATCGAGATCTTTTGTTGAATATTCAAATCACAATAAAAATCAACATGTGTGCATCCGGGAGGCTGCAGAAAATAAAATACTCTACTACTCCATGAATATCTCGTCCATTTAAGTTAAATGTCCCAGAAATGTTAAAACACGACTCACACACACGTTGATTAAATACTGGCCAATAGGAACACATGCTTTAATTATCACGGTCATGAGTTGTTAAAAAAGCACGAGGTCACTGGCCTACAGTGATGACATCACTCTCTCCGCTTACAGGAATAAATAATAAAATAAATACATCCCTCTTCAAAAGAACATTTGAAGTAGATGAAGTGAGATTAAAGTAACAAAGTAAGTTAGTAAGTGCTGTGTTTCATGTACAGGTTTCACATGGATGCACATGAGGCGGGGCGGGGGGGTCATGCATGTCCGTTTCCCACGGATGAATAAAAACGCCCCCCCCCCTCTTCCTGGAGTCACATCTTTAATGTTCATAATGATGATCATCTTCTGCGCGCTCACGTCTTTATTGCTCTGCAGCACCGACGAGGAAGAAGGACGAATGTTTCATGAAGACGATCCGCTCTGCACAGAAGCACCAGTGGGATCAAACTCATTGCATTGTGGTTCCCCGTGCAGAATCTCGCGGGGGGGGGGAAGGGGTGCCAGTGTAAACGTGTCAGCTCAAAACAGCCCCCTCCCCCAACAATATCAC